TGTTTCTTCATCGGAACAGATTTGGAGAAATGTAGCATTACATCACTTGCTCACAAGTGGATCCTCTGCACTGAATGGGTGCCGTCAGAATGAGAGTCCAAACAGCTGATAAAAACATCACAATAATCCACAAGTAATCCACAGCACTCCAGTCCATCAGGTAACATCTGGAGAAGACAAAAACTGAAACTAATCCAGTATTAAGACATTTTTAACTAATATACCATAGAGTCCATAATCCATAATAACGCTTCCTGCAGTGAAAAAAGTGTTCTGGTCTGAATCAGGAGAGAAATCTGCACAGATCAAGCAGCGTTTAAACAGCTCTAAACAAAAATGTGGCTGGATTTTGATGTGAGAAACAACAGGAGATGGACTTTTTCACTGGAGGAAGAGTTATTTTGGATTATAGACTCTATGGTATTTTAGTTAAAAATGTCTCAATGATGGATTTGTTTCAGTTTTTGTCTTCTCCAGATGTTCACTGATGGACTGGAATGCTGTGGATTACTTGTGGATTATTGTGATGTTTTTATCAGCTGTTTGGACTCTCATTCTGACGGCACCCATTCACTGCAGAGCATCCATTGCTGAGACACTGATGCAATGCTACATTTCTACAAATCTGACGAAGAAACAAACTCATCTTCATCCTGGATGAACTGATGGTGAGCACATTTACAGCAGATTTTTGGTGAACTATTCCTTAAGTGAGTGTATGGAAGTAAATATGACGCTCCTCCAGAATGTAAATTAGATGGCACACTCCAGATAAGCATATTATAATTAATCCTTAGAGTAGGAACCCAGAAATCAATTAATAATGAGCTCTTCTGTAATGCTTCAGAAACGCTGTCAAAGCTCAACACAAGCCAGCCGATGAAGTAACACACTATCTACCTATTCGTTGGTCCCTCTTTCAGTGAATCAGATAAAAGCTCAGGACTCGTGTAAGAACGTCACAGACCTTCATCATCCTCATCTAAGAAATCTCTACTTAAAAGTCTGTCCGTGTGATTCTCACTCTGAAATCAGCAGCCGCTGTAGAGACTAACCGCTGGAGGATTTAATGAAAGACAGAGATATGAAGAAGAACGATAAGAACGCGCCAGAAAATTGAGTGTGTGTGTATGTGTGTGCGTGTGTGTGTGTGTGTGTGTGTGTGTGAGAGAGAGAGTGTGTGTGTGTGTTTCAAGTGTACCTTTGCATGATGAAGAGAGAGAGAGAGAGAGAGAGAGAGAGCAGCTCATTTGCTCTGAGTTTGGGCTGCTTTGCAGACTGATCAGTTTTCAGCAGCAGCAGCAGCAGCACATAATGCATGGCAGCTCAATATTGCTGCTGTCTGAGCCACGCTAATGCGGTTCAGAACAAGTCCTGCTCGATACGCAGCTGTCTGCACGTCTCAGACTGCATTCATCCAGTTACAGAGGAGGAAAACATGTTTTTATTAGACAGTTATGATGAGGATTATTGTCTTTTCATTAAGATCCCATACGGAAATGCAATATATGACACATATTTATTTTGTGGATAGATGAAGATATAGCTATATATAGTTATATATATAAACGTCTGATATAGTTTATAACATATCTAAAATCCCCATAGTATTTATATGTACATATGTTATTAATATCTACATGATGATCTTTATATTTTATGTAGCAGCCATACGTCAATGATACATTTTATTTATATATGCAACTTTAAAAAAATAACATATATATATATATATATATACTGTATATATATATATATATATATATATATAAAATATGCACACACTGGCCCAGCTAACCAATCACAACACACACTGGTCCAGCTTACCAATCACAACACACACCGGCCCAGCTAACCGATCACAGCACATTTCGTATTTCAGAAGGCGGGCCTTCATTTGATT